ACAACTGAACAGAATTGAGCCATCTTCAGACAGGGACTGTTGGAAGCTATCGCTGCGATCCGCAAACTTTACGATGAAGTATGTCGAGAACTAGTGACGTACCCCCACCAGGGTTATGGAAAACCTTTAGTTATCTACAAAATAACTTCTGAACTTTCAAGGCTACATCGAAATTCCGAAGCGAAATGGAGTCGTGGTACAGCAAGCAGGTGATTGAGATTCGTACTGGTAACCGCCATGCCGCTGATGCCGCCAGTATTAAGGTGTGTTCAGGAACATGTCACGATTCGAGGAATATTGCTAGGATGTAAATATTGTCAGGTATTTTGTTATTATTTCGTCATTTTTAGGAGAAGGTGAAAACGCTTCGTGCTGAGCTCACTGAAATGCGTAGCAAGCTGGCCAATCTGGAAGGACGTGTAAGTGTCCCTTAACAGTTTTCAGGAATACTTTGTTTCTTCTGTGACATAATTCAATTAAAACGGTTAACGCAATGGTTGGGAGGCGGAGCGGTTTTGATGGTATCATTGTGTGCTATTGGTGTAAGGGCGGGGAGTTGACCCAGCCGTGATTGGTGAATTATACGCCCCACTACGCTGAAGCTCATCCACCAATCTCAGCGTCCAATGACGTCATCGCTCCTCCCTCCGACCATCGTGTTCGCTGCCTTTGAGTTAGATCTGTTGGACGTGTGCAGAAAGCTATCTGAAGTTACCAATGTATAGATTGCGGCTTAAATGACATTACTGTATCGGATTGCCTAAGTTTCAGTCATAAGGTAGCTTGTAATTCTCATTATAGAACCACATTCTCGAAAAGCTCATCCAAGACCTCACCTACCAAATCGAGGATGAGAATCGCGTGTCGATGGCACACCTTAGCGAGAAAGACGATGAGATCCGAGCCGTACGAGCTCAGTGCCAAGCCATCACCGTTGAACTTGAGAAGCTCATTGTTGAAAAAGTTGTAAGTATTAAAATTCATTGAAATTCTATTTTTTTTGTTCTACGTTACTATAAAGTGCATTACTTCGATCGCCTACAGTAATCCCAATTTTCGCGGAAGGAAGCTTCAGGGTGCGTGAGCGATTTTGCCTTCGCTTCCATACCCAACATGGGAGCTTCCTTCCCTGGTTTTGGACTACTGTAGGCGGCACAAATTGTTGCTCTAATGTCCTCCCTCAGTAAGATATAGAACATGTCCTTTTTCCTTACTATGACTAAGTATTTAACCCCCTAGGCCATTTATTGTTAAATGAAGTATGGAACGTTTAGAATCTCGACGCCGAGATTAGCAAATACCGTCAGTTGTTGGAAGGAGAAGAGAACAGAGCACATGGGCGGGTCATCTCTACGGCTAGTCACTCGTTCGAGCCTACAACGCAGACTAGTGAGTTTTACTCTAGTAAACACAACAATGAGTAGGGAGAAATTTTATAACACAGAATTTATCGCTGGTACAGCCTTTTCAGACGTGCACGTCCGCTCAAGCGCTTTGCGCCGCGTAACCGGGACAAATCGCTCTGATACTCAGCGATCCGCCCAAGGAAATGTCTCCATTTCGGTAAGAACTCTACATTGATCAAACATAACTAACTGATGGCTTCTACAGTAGGAACGGAGAAATCGCTATTTCGTCTATAAGTTACCACTGCTCATTAACAAGTAATGGTGTTTAGGAAGTTGCGTCCGATGGATCTTTTGTCACCATTGAAAACACCTCTGTATCTCATGACGAAATGATTGGAGACTGGAAGCTTCGCAGCTCGGGATCTGGTCGTGAAATCACCTTCACCTTCCCGAAAGATTTCAGGTTGACACCGAAATCAAAAGTAACGGTGGGTATCCGAAAATTTGTGTGAAGTGTTCGGGCTACTATATAGTAGTTTCAGATTTTCGCCCGCGGCAGAGGAGTTCATTCGCCACCTCACTCACTGGTATTTGATACTGAGGAATCTTTCGCTACCGGTGGTGATGTGCGTACCCAGCTGTTCAACGAGGAGAATCAGGTACTGATTTGATCGGTGATTTATCGAAGGAGAAACCTCCTCAGTAGGATCCAGTGGTTTCTGAGTTCTCAATGACAGAAGAAACAAGAAGACAGCAGGCAGACAAAGAAACAGCAACGACTTGACCTAGTTCGCTGAGAAGGCTGCCTACGTGTCCATCCCAGTTCTGAGTAGCACTCGGGTTGATTTTTTCTCTCGTCCTCAAAATCTTTCCTGGCTGGAGAGATTTCAAGGCGGTGGTCTACACGTAGCCAACTGTAAAGCTCGCATTATTTTGGTACCAAGAAGCGTTCATATCCCCCATAACCAATTACAGTACGTAGTCAAGTCGGTTTTAGAAATTGAAAGTGCCGCTGAGTTATTCAAACGAGCTCGTAGACGCTTATTGGTAACAATAAACAGCATTAAAATTGACGGAATATTCTGAAAATGATCTGACAGGTTGCATCCCGTGTATCAACTTGACCGTCTACCAGTATCCCCTTCGCAGCTTCTCAGCTTGGTAACTACCAAGGGAACATTTCACGATTGGGTAATTGTGGGCTATTGGACTTGAAAATGATAGTGGATAGGGTAAACAGTCGACCAGTGATGAAATTCTGCAGACGGAACTGCTAAGAATTTTCAAATCACTTCTGCGCTAATCGTGTGGGCGGGGTTTGCGTCCTGATCCTACCTCCTTATTGGTTCGATTGACCTCTATCGTATTTACCTTGTCAAGAAGAAGTATTATTCAGTTTGTAGGCAGGGGCCGCACTTGCGATAAGTGCGCAATGTGATTTTGAGGGTGCTCAGCAGCTACGTTTTTTCCCTTACAATGGTGGGAAACCAACTACTGCATCAGCATTCAGTTTGGGTCACGAAAATCTACAATTGCTCAATCTCACTTCTCTGAAAGGTACGGTAAGCTGGCCATCGATGAAAATGAATGTGGAGTTGGGAGGTATTGTGACTAAAAAATGATTTAAAATTAAAATGATTTGTCTAAAAATTACACAACGGACTCTCTTTTTGCTCGTTGATTTCTGCGCCAAACGAAATGTTACGTTAGCTGACGTCATCAGTGTGAGAGCCTTACTCTGCTTCACTACAGTCTTTTGCTGTCGACAGCAACCAATCATAGGCTGAGTCCGCCATCTGGAGGAGGAGCTCTCCACAAAACTCCATCGCTGCGATATTGCCAGGTTTCCATACCTTAGGAGCGCAGCCTAAGTCACTGTTGTCGGGTTTCCCTTGCTTTAACATCCATTTTGTCGTACCATCTACCTTCAAAGGATACGCAGTGAAGCAGTGACTCGTTTTTTTTTAAATCGCAGGGCTAATGCGAACTCAACGCCGATATTTCAGGAACGTGCCTCGCTCATTCAACGTTCGGCGTACTGATCGCTCCTACTCAATGCCTCTTCGCCATGAATGCCGTGTTCTGCTCAATGTTTAACGCTTCCATAGTGTTATTACATTCTGTTTTCGTCTACATATCGACACCCTTGCTTCAGTGTAGCTTTTTTAGTCGTTGTATAAAAAATTGACGCCACAACACCTCTGTTACTGCCAAAAAATCATCAATCGACTTTTCTTGTTTGCAAATGTGATCGCACCCGCACAGCACCTGCACCAAACGCATCAGCACCGCCGCCCTTATCTTCGCCCTGCCACTAAAGAACCTCCAATCTCGTGGATATTCTGGCAATCCTCTGCTGTGCGAGGAGTCGGAATTTGCTGTACTAGTTGAATAACACCGACTAGTATCGCTTCCTGGTCCGCGTTTTCGTGTTTCAGCCACATCATTCTACTAGTCCACCTGCCCCTAGTTAATGTCTTAATTCGCCGTTTAGATATCAATAAAGTTATGCTACGTATGAAGATGTTACTGTACGACAAGTTCACGGGAAGGCGGTGCATGCCGTGCAATATTTGCAACCCTATTTTACATGTGCAAAATAATGAATTCACCTACTAAGACAACTCCAATCCCTACCGCTAGCACTCTTACAATAATCTTTTAACACCAACATATTACCTTAACACTGATACTTTGTCAGTTCATCAGGAGATGCGTTTTCGCTTTTCAATTGTTACTAGCGACTAAGCTTACTAGGAAGTTCAGGTTCCAAAAACATGGTGGGATGATTTGGGTCCCATTCACCTTGAGTACACGCTTCCCACTACTGTGAGGCACGTACTAAATGAATTTCTCTTTTCGTAATGATTGAATCGTTTTCAAATGCCACTTCAACTGCTTCACTGCTCCTGGACAACCATTATGTTGACGAAAAGGAGCCACGTGTGAAATACTTGTCTTATCAGCGCCTGCAGTGCTTAAAGGAATCTTTCGCGGAAAATTCTTGCATTCTTTTGACATGAATGTGTCAGTTGTGATCACTGGAAACAGCACACAAAGTTTCACGCATGAAGATTCGGTTTCCGAAGAGAAACAAACGTACAAAAACTACACTCTATGGACATCGAAGGTAATTCGGGCGGAGCCAAAGGCATGGAAAGAAGTTGGCCTTTGGCCGGCTACGTCAGGCGACGCAATGAAAGAATCGGGTTAAAGCGCGCGATTTCGGAGAGTAGAGACAAATCGATCGATAGAATAGGATGGAGTAGAAGTGTAAGATGTGAATGCAATAAAGCAGAAGGCCAGAAAGAGTTTCTAGTGAAGGCACTCCAAGAACCAAGTGGAAGCATCCCGTCGCCAGCAATTGAACGCGTAGCAGCCCTTTCGATTTTTCGAATTTTTACCAAAACAAAAGCAATACTTCAGTTCTTTTCACTATTATCGTGGATAATGAGTCTCAAGCCAGTGATTTATGGCTGAAATAGAATCATGATTTTTCCGCGCAGGATTCCTTTAAGCTAAGCAAAACCTACGAAACCTTGTGCAAAGCTTTTTCTTCCCATAGTGTAGCCATTGCTCCGGAAGCGAGCATACATATGTACTTGAGTGCATGCACGCCTTGTTTCCCGTAACTGGGCCTGATTACAGATATTCAAGGGAACGATGCAAGTCAGGATAGTTGTATATAGAACATCTGATGCGCCTTTGAACGGCGATTATATATTTGGAGTCCATCTCTACTGGACTGTCCTCTGAGAGAGTGACGGAGCTTTTTAGTCTCATTTGTGGGATGGCACAACGGCCAGCAAGTCAGAATTGCCCTCGCGCTTTCGTTTGCATTTTTTGAACGCCTTTGGCTGAATTATTTGTCGTGAGCCTTTCAGCAATGCTCCAAGTCTTTGTTGAGCTGCAAAGCAGCAGTGCTCAACAAAGATCAAATGCGCTTGGTCTTTGTTAAGCTTCTTTTTAATGTCCTGCTTCGAGTTTGCGTCACTCCTGTGCTCGCAAGGACGAGCAGGGAATTCTCGCGCTAAACCGTCATGGTACTTTAGTGGAGAAAGTTGAACGACCACTAGGGACAAATTTCAGAGGATACTCGAGATTCTCTCCTTTACTTCGAGAAAGTGTTGTTAGCCATAAGTAGTGGTGCCCTTGTGATCACTGGTGTATTTGATACTGCCACGATCAACCCCACTGGGGACGGCCTGAAATAAGCATTTGGCTCGCACTATTTTATTAGATTCCGGAATACTTAATTTCTCTTTTTTAGGCCTTGAAATTTTGCCCCAGTTAACTGGTGTCTCAATTTTTTGTTTTTGTTCCTTATTATTAGGGCTTGTTATGTCGTCTATTAATGTTAAAAGAATCCGTCCACGGAAAAATCACGATTCTGTCTTACCCATAAATCACTGGCTCGAGACCCATCATCACGATAAAAACGAAAAGACAGAAAAATTGTGTTTGTTTTGGTGAACAATTCGAAAAACCCAAAGAACGTTACGCGTTCAAATTCCCGCCGTACATCTGTCACAAATGCTGGCGTAGGGAGCAGCCTCGCTTCATTCCCTGACCAGGAAGGTCTTTCAGGGCGTGACGAGCTTTTTGAAAACGATCTTTTGCATGATATAGGGGCAGATGTGGGGACGAGAACCATGTTTTAATTTTTCCTGAACGGCCCTCTGAATACCAGGAAAGGGGGTCCCTAGTTCGATTCCTCTTGGTGACAAATTTTTGCATTTCGAGTTGACGTTCCAAAATTCGCGCAAAATGGAGTTCTGATTGTTCTGGTTGGTTCTAACTCCATTTTGCGCAAATTTTGGCACGTCAACTCGAAATGCAAATTTTTTAGCGCAGAGGTGATTTTAGGGACCTTCTTTCTGGCTTGTTCAAGGGCGGTTCCCGAAATTGAACATGGTTTCCTCCCATCCATTGCCATTTTTTATATTGTCTGCAAGAGTTTTAAAAGGGTTGTCGCCCTGAAAGACTTCTGGTGAGTCTGACTGGATTCTTGAGCTCCTTTCCCTCAGGCTAATACTTTTTCATATTCTTCAATCGAGGCTTTTAATCGGATTCTTTTCAGTGCGCTGCTGTATTCTTTTAAGGGCCCTGTGATCTTTTTGTGTCTCACCGAATACGACGTCCATAGATTGTAAACTTTGTCAAGTTTTTTGTCTCTTTCGGAGAACGTTTCATGTTTTTGCGATGAATAATTGTTCGTCGTGTCTCTGTGTATTGCATCCTCCATCAAGATGGGGTTCGAAGCAGTTCGAAGGAACGTGCCGGATTTGAGACTCCGCACATCGTTGCGGCACGCCTCGGCTTCTTACAAGGGAAGGATACCAGGTCGAAGTGGCCATTTGTAACGAGACATACACCACTAGATGTGTTTTTGGACGCTGATCTCGAATCTGCTCTCCAAATCTGCGAAACGATTCTCTGAACGTAGTTATGAAGCGAGATAGTGCAGTGGCAGCGGCCCAGGCCGACGAAAGAGGTCGTGAGATCGAATTCTTGGCGAGTTCTCACTTTTGCTTTCCTTGAGACATTGCTAAAGATGCTTTTATCCATATAAATTATTAGCGATTGCCTATATTACAAGTGGGAATAGCTAGCGAGGAGCATCTAACACTGTGCGCGCCATTGTCAAAACCACCCCTAACGCACGCGTCAGGCACTTTCTTGCCAAACAGAGGTGATTTTCGTGTTCAGCGCGCCAATCTTCCGTTCCCCACAACTTTTGGTCCAAATCTAACTTCGAAAATGTGGGCAGTCGTCGTTGTCATTTGCAATGGCTTGATGGAAACTCCTCGCTAGCTCCTCACACTTGTAATATAGGCGAGTGCTGATGACTTAGCATAGATGAGGATCCCCTTAACAATGTCCTCAGGAAAAGCAAAAGTCAAACTCGCCAAGAAGTCGATCTCACGACCTCTTTCCGTCGGCCCGGGCCGCTGCCACTGCACTATCTCGCTTCATAACTACGTTCAGAGAATCGTTTCGCAGATTTGGAGAGCAGATTCGAGATCAGCGTCCAAAAACACATCTAGTGGTGTATGTCTCGTTACAAATGGCCACTTCGACCTGGTATCCTTCCCTTGTTAGACTCGAACGGTTAGACAGAGGGATCGTTAGCATTGCGGAGGCAACACCGATGAGAGTAGCATCAATGCAGAAATGAAAGGCTAAGGGAGGGGTCCTATTCTCTGTTCTGGCCGTTTCTGGTGGCTTTCTATTCATCCCGGCACCACTGACCGCGTCAACTAACTCTTGTGCGCTGCCTCATAATCCTAAACTTTGCGTTTGATGGCTGAGTCAGGTAAAGCTACCGCCCTTCAAACAAATTGGGAGCTTATCGAGTTTTTCATCGGGACGTGAATCATTGCGACGTTGTCTGAAATGCTCAGCGGCCGAGCTCTTACATATTCAGAGCGTGTCTTTAAAAAGCTGTGCACCGATGATATCACTGAAAAGTTATGTGCCAGCTTCAGGTTGGAGCAATAATCGTCGGCGTCGTTGAGCTCGACGGCGATCGCGCATAACTTCATGATCTGAAGGGGATTAGAGCAGTGCACAAGGATTGGCTTCTGCTCACGAGGCAACAGTCCAAGGATTTTTTCGCCGGGAGATTCGTGTGAAAAGCGGCTCTCTATGTGCACTAAGTTTACTAATGTACACCATAAGCTGAAAATCCCCCCCCCCCTATGTTATGTGAGAGTTGTTGGACTGCAGTCCAGTTGGCTACAGTCTCTTTTGTCTACGCCTATGATCTGAAGTGATGGGAAGTATCAATCAGCACCAATTCTTCTTAGCTCCTTTAACTCTGAAAAACGAATTACACGGCCATGGGATGGCTCTCATATCATTTGATGATTTATTTGTTGCTGAGTCTTTTGAAAATACACTGTTTGATTTCCCGGCCACTGGATGAAACTCTTTCCAACTCGAATCCAGAA